ACAGGCTTCAGTCATTCTTCTAAGTCAGGATATTCTCTTTCCATGGGTACCCTTAGATTCCCACTGCATTTTCATTAACATGACATAACCTTAGACTACACTAATTCCTTGTGGGTGCAGGTGTGTGGTTAGGACATCTACATGGTTAGCAGGAGCTTAGAAAGAATAACGGGAAAAGAGAGAGCCCTGCGGGGGACAGGATACAACTTTCTGACCAGCCAGAAACAGGAAGAGAGAGAGGGAGATTGTGAACTTCAGCAAAGTAACTATAGACTCCTCTACATCCTAGGAGAATTAGAAAGGATTTATCAGCATAGAGCTATGGGCCTAAAATCACCCAGAGGTGTGGTGTGGCCCATGATTCCTGGAAAGCTTGCATGTAAAGCACATGGTGAGGCACAAGCACTTGAACATGTTTTCAGAAGTGAATTGAAGGCATGGTACTCGCTGAATGTTAGTTGTGAGAAAATAAAAAGCAACATTCTCTCTAAGCCTGCATATGGTGAGCTGAGTGGGCTTTGCCTCTGAGGGATATCAGCAGTTCTCTATGCCTTCCTGTTGGATATATGTGTTGTTATAAAGTTAGCTATTTTCAAACTTCTCAATACAGCTTTGGGCAAGAACACACCTCCAGGAGTGTTGTATCTATTTTCAGGAGTGCTGGGAAAAATAAATATGCTATCTAACAATATTTCATGACTCTAATTAACCAGGAGGCACAAAAGGAGGGGCTAGACTGGGGAAGGCCAACATTAAGCAAGGCTCCAGCTATGGGCCTGACCTGGAGGCTGCATTTGGGAAAGGGCTGGACACATGCATTTGAGGACAAGATGTGAGCATGACACCACAAATCCAAGCTTTGGCCTTGGCTGTGAGCACACCGCCACAGCCTGGTCCCAGCTGGACTGGCCTTCCTTATCCTCCACCCTCTGCACCTCCCGTCAGGGCAACAAGAATGGCAGACTCAGTGACTTTAATAGAGAAAGCCCTAGAATGGAAGCATCAACAGTCTTTACAGTTCAAACATTTACTGCCCTATCTCTCACCCTGTCTCTACCACTGGCAGTGGTCCTGCTGTGCTAAACTGAGTGGGGAAAGAGCATCACAGGTTCCTAATCCCCACAGCTGTCTTCACTGAGGAAGTAAACCTCAGAAAGTGAGTCATGGCGACATCCAAAGCACAAGTCACGGAGCTCTTCCTGGAAGCCTCACGGGCATCCTGACCTCTGGACTTGGGCTTTGCACACACTGGATGCTTTGCAGCTTTGAGGTTGGAGTATCGTTCTCAACTAAATGACCATAGTGCACTGAGTACTAATTTGGATCCATAAAGCTTGGCAAAATCAGTCTTTTTCTTCACTTATTGTAACAGTAAAATATCAAAAGCATCCTTAAAACAATCTCACTGGACTGGATGTTGGAAGGCAGCACAAGATGTCAGGAAGAACCTTTGTTTGTCTCTTTAGGGAGTCAAAGAAGATAATACTGAAGAGACCTTAAAGACCATGCAGCCCAACCTACTCATTTCCCAGACAAGAAAAGTGAAGCCCAGAGAACAGATGGGCTGCCTCCTCTAGTCATATGGGGATTAAAAATATATATGTATATTTATTTTATATATATATATATATGTGTGTGTTTTTTCCATGAGCTTTAGTGAAAGTGACCAGTGTTATCTCATTTCCTGGCTTCTCAAATCCAAGATCCAGCCAAATCTATTATTTATAGACTGAATATACCTTATGCTTTCCTACCTCCATGCCATTGCCCCCATCACTTGGAATGTCATCCTGCACTTCTCCAACCTCCCAACTTCCATATTTTGAAATAATTTTTATCTATCAGTGATTAGCTCAAATATGCCATCTCTTAGATAAAAATTTCTCTGTGAAATAATTGTTTTTTCTGTCAACAACAACAGCTACCACACAGGAACAGCACTTACATATTACCCATTATGGACTGGGCAGCTTGCTTACATTTTATCTCATCTAGTTCTCAAAATAGCCATATATTGGTATATCTTTAGTCACATGTCCAGGGACACTCAGCTAGCAAGTGGCTTTGATGGTTTATTATAAATATGCTATGTACCATAATTATGCTGATAAGGAGAAGAAACTAGATTCTTTAATAGGGTCCCCCCCCACCCCATCAACTCTCTCTTTTCCCCAAACCAAAATACAGGTTAACACATGGGGATTGAAATCTTCTAGTTAATATTAGGATACATAATCCTCACGTTTTCAAACCTTCTAAGGTTAAAGTTTGGCCCACAGTAGAAGGCACTGCTACCTGAACTTTAATTTCAGGAAGTGGGCATGTGGAAAGTGTGTTGGAAAGTGTGCTCTTGCAGGATGCAGTTCAGTGATTGTGGATGAGCCTTGTACCTCTAACCTGGTGTCTGTTAACACCTATTCAGGGTTGAACACGTCAGTGGTAGAAATAATCTGTGCACACGTCACAGAAGGCAGATGTACCCTCTACCTACTGGAGATTTCACTGGAGCCCCTGGACTTCAACACAACATTTTGGGCACATGTGCATTTTTTTAGAGACAGGTTTCACGACATTCACTGGAGTCCCCAAGGGATCTATGAATAACAAATATTAAGAATGGCCCTGTTTTAGAGGTATTGTGGAAGGCAGAAGAGCTCCACGACTACGATGGCATAAGGAGCCTTTCTGAAAAGATAAGAAGAATCTGTGGTGGGATGAAACAGTTTCTGTCTCATTTAAATAAAATATTCCTTTTTGGGAATTGTTGAGAGGGCATCCTAGACAGTGATGGTACATTTGTCCGGAGTGTTAAAGCAGCCAGGAGCTAACAGGGCTCACTCCATATTCCTAACCCTCCAGCATTTGGTAATGGACATTTGAGACTTAGACAAATGCAGTGACTTATCAGAAGCCACAAAGATCAGAGATGAGATAAATGAAAATTCAGTTCTCATTCAATTTCACGGTCAGTCTGCATTCGTTCAGATAACACCCTATTAAAATGATAACTGTTACAAGAAAGGGGCCACACAAAAACCCAGTATCTGCACGTGGCCTATAGAAGCAATGCTTTGTCACCTGGTTCTAACCAATTTTATCCAAGAAATAATCCTCTTCCAATGCTTTTTCAACTTTGCAACATTACCTGTCTATAAGAACCGAATTGTGTACTTTTCCAAATAAAGATGGAGAAAGGGAAGTTAATCTGATCTACAGCTGACATAATTTTGTTTCTTGCCTTCAAATATCTTTTGTTCTTCAATTTCTGTCTTCTTCCTACCTCACATACCTCAGATCATAACCAGGACAGTGGGAAGTAGAAAGTGGTGAAGCACAAACATTTTACCCTCCTAGGGGAGTAATAATCACCATTTCGCAACGTGCTAGAATCTCATTTGAACATCACAGCACATCTGTACAGGAGAAGAAATGGTAATCTTCATTTTCTAGATGATGAGACCATGGTTTTCATACAAGCAGACAATCCTCCCAAGCAAGCAGAATAGCAAGAATTTTCATGTAACTTTGTGTTTTTTCAAGACTTTAATTTTAGGATGGTAAATATGGGGACAAAAGTCTTCAGGAGATCCCAAATGCAGAAAACGTCCCTCCACATTAATTAACAAGATGTATTTATGCAGATACGCTACCAAGCAACTATAGAGACACACGCATATATTTACATTATTGTCTTTTCTGCCCAGTGAATCTGAAAGAAAGCATGTTGAAGTTCTGCTATTGATTGGGAGAATACAGGTGCAGAGAGTAGGTGATTTGTCCTTGACCACCTAATAAATGAAAAGTTACGTCAAAGAGAACTATTGCTCTATAATGTGGAAATGTTCTTGCTAGTGATGCGTTAATTTTAACAAAATGTTGCCATAATGAAGCAGCATATTTAACTCATGGAGGTTTTTTATAGCAGTACTCTGTATGTGCAAAGTAAAATCTGATGGTGTTTCCAAATAGAGTCTTTACCATCCCCCTTTTTAAAACAAAGAACTTCAAGGGCAGAGTGGGAAGGTTTTAATGATAAAAATATAAAGAGTAGGATTCCTATGATCTTCAACGAAGAATAAGCTCAATTTCTTAATTTCTTACCCTCTAAAATATTCTGGTTCTTAAGAAATCAAAGATACTTTAAAATCTAAGATAATTCTGGCTGCCCAAAAATTTCAGTTCTTGACAAATCAAAGGTACTTTAAGATATAAAATAATGCTGAATACCAATCATTGAGAATTACCTTTTCCTTTGGGATTATTTTACTTTGGTAAACACTTTTTTTCAGTACTCTAATTAAAGATCATTCTTAATTAAGCTGAATCAAGAAATTGATGGCATGTTGCATGAATTTTGTTCCAGGGAAACTTGCCCATTTTGAAAGAACGTCTCAGCATGAAGAGATCAGCGTCGCAGGGAAATTTACAAGTCATCGGTCTGATCTTGCACTCTGGGTAGGAATGTCGTTTATAACATACCTGAGAAGTGACTAGGTAGTACCTACTAGAACATGACCTATGACACGTAGCTCACTGCTTTACACAGTAGTCCGCCCCCCCGCCGCCCCCCGCCCCGTGCAACAATTCTTATCATTTGCTGGTTCTTATTTTGAATAAAAATCTACCTACTTTTAACTTTGTCCAAGACCTGGCTCCTGAACCAGCACAAAGCCCTCTCTTTCTTCACATATGAATTTTGAAGACTTGTTTCCTTGCTTCGAGTGTTTGTTCTTCTGATAAAACACCCTTGGTTTCTTTGATTTGTCTTCCTGCACCTTGGGTTCAGATCTGTCAATATCATCCTTCTACAAGAAAGCTCTTTTTGCAATCTATTACAGTTCGCTAGTCTCTCTTTTAAATTGCATACCTCAAAATTTATGCAGTCTTTGGTAACTTTCAGAAATTACTGCTGCTGAGAAATTTCCCTTGATTTATAAGCAGGCCTTTTTTCTCACTGTGCTCTCTTTTGGTTGTGGTGGCTCTGTGATCTGGGGACCTACCTTTGCCAAGGTCTCATCATCCAGGTGATTCTTCTGAATCACATGTTGAAGTGCAAAATAAATTTTTTCCTGAAGCTTCTGGACCTTCCTTGGTTCTATAAGCCACGCTCGGTCTGATGAAAGAAAGAGTAGATAAGTGGAGGGAACATCAACTTTATTTTGCTTCACCCACATATATAAGTGCCAAACTTCAGACCCATTTCATATTATTTAGTTCTAAGTTGCTTCTGAAGACATGTCATTATTTACATAAAGCATAAGTATTTCATAGGCAATACCATGATGCCAGGAATGCACAATATTATGACACAGGAAATCACTTTGCAGAAAAGGACACAATGGTTCAGATGATCTGCTTCTTTGTTTCTTATTGTCTGTGACAATTTACATCTCTCACTCTTTGCTTTGGACATATGCTTAGGTTTTCTTTCAAAGTAGAAGTTAGCGATTTGTGAAGAAGAATTATAGAAGTGAAGAAAATCACAGGAATATTTTTGGTGTTCAGGATCCCTTTTCCTTTTCTCAGCTTATTTTCTCATCAGATATAAAGCTGAAGCTATGTTAGAATTTATGTAGCATAAACATAAATCAGTTTCAAAAATTCACTTCTAAGTTCTATTTTCCTATATTGAATTCTTAAATGGTGAATAGGATAATCCCTTCTTTCCTTCCTCCCTCTCTTTATCTGTTTCTCCCTGCCCTCAGACCCTCTCTCCCTTCTTTCCTTCCTTCCCTCCTTTCTTCCTCTCTTTTTTTCTCCCTCCCTTCCTCCCTCCCTCCCACACTTCTTTCCTTCCCTCCTCCCCCTCTCCTTCACTCTTTCCCTCCTTCCTTCCTAGAAGATTTATATACCGTGGTGACAAAATTCAGCCCAGTGCCTTAGTTTGGACCTTTATGGAAGAGACACTCCAAATCTTCAAATGCCGAACAAATACTCATGGAAAAGAACTTGAACATGATCTTTCTGAACACAGTTCAGGTCAGGTAAGAAACTCAATTCTGTAACCCTATACAGGATGAAGACAAGTCTAGCCAACAGTTAAGCAAACCCTTACGTAAGTAAGTACAAAAGCTTTCAGTGACAATTGTCAATCAGAATACATTAAGTTCCCCTCCCTCTCCCTTCCCTAAGCTGTTTGGAGCTGAATAAACAGTGGCTTTTATGTCAGGACCCTGGAGAAAGAATAGGGGGCTGTCTGGCAGGAGATGGAGCCTACATAGGCTGGAAATCTTTTTGAATATGGCACTAAGCCAGGGTGGCAAATGAGGTATTTGGAGTTCGTAAAGCCTCTCAGTGTGGGTCTGCTAGCAGCACTGGAAGAGTCCCCACTAGGTAGAGTAAACCAAATTGCATGCTTCCAAACTTCTCAGAATTTAATGATGATAGCATGTTTTTTTTTTCTAGAAAAAGGCCAAACAGCTCAGCTGATTTCTAATTCAGAAGGTAGAGGCTAGCTTTTCTTCTGGAGTGATCATTTTCACAGATCGTTCATATTTAATATATTTGATATTTCATGTCTTAAATATTTGCTGCTTAAAATTTACTGACTTGCTACAAATATACCTAAAGAGAAGAGTGACTCTAACGCTTCCTTTGAGCAAACAAGAACTAGAGGAAAACCATCTCCCTCATCTATAGATCCACTGGCTTAGATTTCGTTTTCTATTGAACTATTCTCAATGGAAATAATCAAATGCAATGAGAAAATGGTAGAAGGAAAATTATTTGGCATGTGGCTGCTAACAGAGAAAAGTATTCTTGTCACTTCTTCCATCTATCTTTGTGCTTCCAAGCCTGGGAAACTTTCTAGGGTTTAAAAAAAAAAAAAAGGCCTAGAGGAACAGCTTGATTTTAGACAGAGCCATAAAAGAAACTGTTAGTAAAAACACTCTATGTGATAACTAATTTCCATTTTTGATAAAGTGGTTAAATAAAAAACAGTAGCAAATTAAAAATATCCTGATAAGACCATCAAGAATCGTATTAGGAATAATAAAGCCTAACAGATAAAAACTGTAGACATTAGTGTTACTGGAAAATAGAGCTACAATGGCATGTTAAAATTATAATATGTAATCTTATATCACAGGTAAGATTAATTTCTTTCAGTTTCATTGAAAAATATAATAGGGCATATATACGAAAAGAGTTCTGGTCTCTACAGATAAATGGTTAACAGAAGAAATGAGTCTCTTGCCTTAAAAATTAGGCAAGAATTTGTTTTGCTTTCTGTAGAGACTTGTCAGTGATGCTGTTATCCCTTAACCGAAAATGTAATAGAACAACAGCTGAGTAAGTAACTGAATTCTCATTCTGGCTAGAGAGCCATGTATTTATTACTATATTATTGTCGTTATATTATTATGATTATATTATTCATTATTATATTTTAAGCTGGCATATACTTTGTTTTGTTTTGTTTTGTTTTTCTGAGACAGAGTTTCAGTCTTGTTGCCCAGGCTGGAGTGCAATGGCACAATCTCGGCTTACTGCAACCTCCGCCTCCTGGGTTCAAGTGATTCTCCTGCCTCAGCTTCCCAAGGAACTGGAGTTACAGGCACCCACCCCCATACCCAGCTAGTTTTTGTATTTTTGGTAGAAACGGTTCTTCACCATGTTAGCCAGGCTGGTCTCAAACTCCTGACCTCAGGTGAACCGCTGGCCTCGGCCTCGGCCTCCCAAAGTGTTGGGATTACAGGCATGAGCCACCACGCCAGGTGTAGCATATACTTTTAAAAAGTATTTCACTCACTACAGTTCTAGTTGATCTATAAATATTGTCATACCTTGAATTCTTTAAAAACTTGGCATTTCTGTGCATTTTAGAACCAGCAGAGGTCTTAGTTATTATGGAGTCCGTCCCTCTTATTTTATAGACGAGGAAACTAGGGCTCTGAGGGGTCAAATGTTTAATATCACACAGATACATAGTGACAGAGCTGACACCAGAATGTCCACCTCCATGTCTGAAGTTTTTCCTCTTCTACCGGGCAGTCTTCAGTATGAGTAATTTTCCCCTCTGCTGTCCTTACCTCCTTTTAAAACTTCTGATACAAGTGACCCTTCTACAATGTGGGTTTGAACTGTGTAGGTCCAGTTATATGAAGATTTTCCTTCTGTTTCTGCCACCCCGGGACTGCGAGACCAAACCCCCCTCTTCCTCCTTCTCCTCAACCTACTCAGTGTAAAGATGACCAGGATGAAGACCTTTATGATAATCCACTTCCACTTAATGAAAAGGAAATCTGTTTCCTTTTGCTAATAATTTTCTGAGTACCATTTTCTTTTCTCTAGCTTACTTTACTGTAAGAATACAGTATACAATACATTTAACATGCAAAGTATGTATCAATCAACTGTTTATGTGATCAGCGAGGCTTCTGGTCAACAGTAGGCTATTGGTAGTGAAATTTTTTGGAGTCAGAGGTTACATGCAGATTTTTGACTGCATGCAGGGGACTGATGCTCTGACCCCTGCATTGTTCAAGGTCCAATGTATTGCTAAGAAAATAGGCACTAGCATTTGTCTGAAGTGAGCACATCAACATGAATTTGGGCAAAGATGCCAACACAAGAGGTATTTAAAGAGTAGTAAGTGTTCCTTTTACTTATGTAGGTCCCCATTCTGGAGCTTTCATGTAGGTACATTTCTACTGTGTCTCATCCAACTGGACATTTATTTTCTAGGTACTTTATTCTTAAAGTCAAAATAGAACTTGGCTGTAACTCAGGCCACTATTGGTCTTCCTTTATTTGTTAAGGAATGATTCTGCTTATCTGAATCTGGAATAACCCCTACCCCATGCTCTACTCTTGCTTTTGGGCCAAAATTGGTCATTTTAATAAACTTGAGGCTACTTCGCTTTTCACTGTCCAAAAATATCAGAAGCTTGGTCTTTACCAAAATACAGTTCTGTTAAAGTTTCTCCCGAACACTTTGGCTTAGGCAGGTGTCATCAATGTTAAAAATAGTAAAACAAGTTTTTAAAAAAGGTAAGAGAACTGAGACTGCCCTACCTGGAGATATCAGAACAGCAGATGAGAACAAAGCGATCTCCTCCTCGGTCAGCTGCAAGGAACACAAATTCTTTGCAAAGTCAAATGCTTCATTCACTAGGTCATCAGAACCTATAAAGGAGAAGAAAAATGGAATAAAAATACTTGAACTTGAAATGGGGCAATAGTAAGAAAAATCTCATAATCAATAAGCTATCCAAGGAGGTGCATACTAGACTTCTAGAAAAGATATTTTTTAAGTTTCTAATTATGAAAAGTGATTGACACTAATCAAAGAATGAGAAAATTGGGCAACATCTTGGCCAGGCAATCGAAGTTAACATTACCTACCAACAACAAGCAAGTAGACCTGGTGCGTGAGCAGTGTCACATCTGCCTGGGAGTCCATACTATGATTATATCCTTATAAATTTGAAATGCTTTCACATTAAAGAATATAAAATAAGTGATTTGGGGATCCTTTACAATAGAGATAGTATTCATAGAAAACCTAAAACATTACATATAGGGGCTGAGAATTGTCAGTCTTCGTAGCACTTGAGGCTAGCAATGTAAGGTATTCTGATCTTTTAAACTGAGACGTTAGAAATATCTTTTGGAACAGAGATGAGATACACTTCAGTTTTGCAATTTCCTTGGAAATTTGATTAAGGAGCTAGAGTTCATTTCTTATTACCTTCTAATGAATGACTCACAGGTCAGTTGCTTAGCTGTTGTGAATTTTGGAAAATAATGTTGCATCTCTACACTGATCCCTGGTAAATGTTTATTTGATGAAGCTGGAAATATTCTGAGGTTGCTTGCCAAGGCTTTTCCTCCTTTCTTGAAAATCTAGCCTTGGAGATGACATGGATGTGTATCAACTGTAGAAGGGAAACATTGCCAGCCCCGATGGACTTGTTGTTGGCTGCCATATCAACTAACAGCACAAGAGGTGAAAGGGCAGTGGCCTTCTTTGGTGTCCATGAGCAGGATATGGAACAAATGGCACTATCAATCGTTAAAACGTTTCCTGGCATCAGCCCATCTTTGCTAATGTTCTTCCTATCCATGCCATGCACTGATGACTGGATGTGATGATATACAACACTTCCAAACAAAGACTGACTCTGTTAGTGCATTCCCGCAGGAATGGTCTGGGATCATTGTGGACAGGTTGGCATGAACTCTCTGTGCTCCCAGAACTTTGTGAATTAACTTCTGTGGGTGAGAAACAAGTAGAGGAGCTCCTCTTTGAATTAACTATCTTAACTCATGATGATAAATTGACATAAGAAACTTAAGAGGTCACCCCCATGGATGACCAGGGGTCTACGCAATATACAATAAAGTTGGAAAAAAAAAAACTGATCTCACAAAGAATGATCCGTAATTCAGCCCAGCTCTTTTAGCATCAGTCTCTGGTTCTTTCTTTTTCTTTCTTTCTTTTCTTTCTTTCTTTTCTTTTCTTTCTTTCCTTCCTTCCTTCCTTCCTTCCTTCCTTCCTTCCTTCCTTCCTTCCTTCCTTCCTTCCTTCCTTCCTTTCTTCCTTCCTTCCTTCCTTCTTTCCTTCCTTCTTTCTTTCTTTTTTTTTTATAGGGTTTCGCTTTGTCACCCAGGCTGTAGTGCAGTGGTGTGAAGATGACTCACTGTAGCCTCGATCTCCCAGGATCAAGTACTCTTCCTGCCTCGGCCTCCCAACTAGCTGGGACTACAGGTGTGTATCACATGCCTGGCTAATTTTATTTACTTATTTTATTTATGTGAGATGGAGTCTTGCTCTGTCACACAAGCTGGAGTGCAGTGGCATGATCTCGGCTTACAGCAACCTCCGCCTCCTGTGTTCAAGCGATTCTCTTGCCTCAGCCTCCCGAGTAGTTGGGATTACAGGCGTGAGCCACCATGCCCATGTCTCAATAGGGTTGTTTTCAGGAGGGTCTTCAGTTCTCTCTTTCTTTTGTATTGGAGGCCACAGTTACAAGATCAGGAGAGGCTCGCCTGAATTAGAAGCTCACCTGGTCCATCCCTTATCGAATAATGAGATACTGGTTCACATCAAAGAATCAAGGCATTTCATCTGCCAATTTCAATCTAAGTGGAGAAACTGATGGTAGCTAATAAAATTGTGTCCTCATCAAAGGGAAACTTACCTAAGGCTTTGAACATTTGCATTCCTCCATATTTTCCTTCAAACAGAACAGTGTTGTTTAATGGGTTGAAGGCACGGCACATTCTCACTAAAACCACTTCCAAGCAACCTATGAGTAAAAAATAAAAATAAAAATAAAGTAAAAATATACATATATATCCAATAATAAGAAGTTATTACTGCATATAGCTAAGAGACTTTCAAGAACTTTAAAACACATAGAGAGACACATACAGACACACAGGCACACACCTGCAGCAATCCCTTAAGTTCCTTCCCCTAAAATAACTACTAGGTTGGTGCAAAAATAATTGCAGTTTTTGCCATTGAAAGTAATGGCAAAAACCTAATATATTTGCACCAACTTAATATGATAGAAATAAAGTTTTCTTGATACTTACATGAAGAATTAAGGAGAAAATATATTTTACAGGTGGCTAAGCTGGAGGGCAGTGACATTACTTGTTGAAAATAAATTTCTCTCTATTTTTTGACTAATATTGAAGCTAGTTCGATTCTTGAATTCGCAATTGATGAAATGCGGGCAGGAATTGTGTCGGCAGTGATAGGCAGCCATGATTATTGTATTCACTCTTGCATCTCCAGGACCAAGAAAAGTTTCTGGCGTGTAGTAGTTGCTAAGTAAATATTTATTGAATGAATTTGTTTACTACCATTGTTTTTCCCTTTGAGCACTATTAACATCCTGAGGAAATACTGCTGCATAGCCTCTCCATGTTTTGGAGAAATGGACTTTTGCCCCACAGTGTAGTTGAAATTAACAGCCAGACTCAGCAGCCACAGATTTGTATGAGAGCATCACACTGGTGATTAGCCTACAACTTTGGTACCTGTCTTAGGCCACCACTTCATCTTTGTGTCTCTGTTTTATTTCCTTTGCTGTAAATATGTTTGCTGATTTCTCTCTGCTTGTCTTTGGTATGTCACCTAGCATAGAGGCTTATACATGGGGAGGATTTTCAAGTATTAATTGAAGGAATGCTTTTCTGACACACACAGTAGATGGGTACCATTTATTGAGTATCTACACAATCGAAGGAACTTTCTTTGGCCTCTTACATTCATTTTTTATCTTTGCTCCTTACAGTAGCTATTTCAGATGAGTTTATTAGCCCTATTTTATGGAGGAGTTACGCGAGGCTTGAAAATATTAAGTACCCTACCTTTTTGACTAGAGTCAACATTTTTACACCAGGTAGAGATGTTAAAGATTATATGGTTCAGTGGTTCCCAAATGTCAGCCCATGGATTGGCTATATCTGAGTCTTAGTTAGAGATACAGTGAACTGGGTTCCCCTCCAGGAGATTTGGATTCCATGGGACTCACAGTGCCCATGTCTCTGAACTGTCAACAGTCTCCTTTGATGTTGTTGATGTAATTCCGAGTTTGGAATTCATTGTTTCTAGTCCATCTCTTTATTTTATAAATGAAGAAACTGCTACCTAGAGAGTTTAGCTCAAGGTCATATATCAAGATTTCACTTTTCAAAGAGGGTCAGAAAAAATATCTTCCATCCCATATGTTTTCTAGGACCTTACCACTCCCCTATCAAGTAGTAGAATCCATGTCTCCTGTCCTTAAATCTGGGTGGGCCTTCATGACTGATGGTATATAATGGAAATAACAATATGTGTTTTCTGAAGTTAAGTTAGAAAAGTCTATGCATTTCTGCCTTGTTTTCTTGGGGAGCTAGCTTTTGGAGCATAGTGATTATGTTGTGAGCAAATCCAAGCAGTCTATGGAGGGTCTCACATGGAGAGGAACTGAGGCCCCCAGCCCAGTTCTAGGCTGTGAACCAGCACAACTCATCAGCCATGTGAATGAGCCAATTTGAAAGTGGATTCCTCTGCCCTCAGCTGAACTGACTCAGTGAATGCCACATGGAGCAGAGATAAGGTCATCCCTGCTGAGTCCTGCCCAAATTGTAGCTTTGAGAGCAAAATAAATAATTCCTGTTGTTTTAGTTAAATTTTGCAGTGGTTTCGATGACTGGTACATCAAGTTGGCACTTCAGTCTAGGTTTTCATCAGCTTGCGTCATTGGGTAAAGAAGCAGCAATATCTTAGAATAACAGTTATATTTGGCCCAAGTTCAAATGCCAACTTTGCCATGTACTGGTTTTGTAATATTGAACATAGATCTTCACTTCTCTGAATCTTTTCCTCCTCCTCTGTAAGATGGAAATAATAATATAGATCTCACAAGATTACTTGAGATGTCATAGGGAAACAAACATATATGTGTGTTATTTTACATATAAGTATGTTATTATTATCATGGCTTAGGACTATGAAAATTCACATAAACACCATCGTGGTTCTTATTTTCTATTTTCAAAGGGGCCCAAGAAAGACAAATAATTTCTTTTTCCTGTTTGGTAATAACATCTGCAAAGTCAATCGTATGCAGAGTTTCTTGAGCTACTTCCGTTAAAATTGTGTGTGTCAGAGAGTGTGTGAGGGAAGGGTAGGGAAAGATTAGAGTACCGTGGAGTTTCTCCTGGTGTATACTGGCTGCAGGCTATCCTCATTAAAATGATTGGAAATGACCACAGAGGCAGAACTCAGCTAGCCTGCATTTTTTTTTTCCTTTCACAGAAGGCAAGGAGTACATTTTAGCGCCGGCTCAGCAATTCAGCCACCTTGACACGCTAATTACTTGCACTGCCTGTCAAGCTGCGTATCTCAACCTCCGCAATTAATAGCTCCACTTTCAATAAGCAAAATTGTGTTTGACTTCAAAGGGGAACTGAATGAGTATCAGGGCATTTTTATTACTGAGCGTTTCCTCGGGGAGTTGGCTGACAATGTGGGTGGTAGAAACGAGCTGCATATCGGAAGGAGGATTTTCTAGAACCAACACAGTGCTAAGGGCTGACCACATCCTTATCTGAAATAGGCCCCCCATGAATCTTCTTGCTTACCTGACTTCAGAAGTAGAATTTGATCATTTTGACAGAGCTCCATGAAGCCTGTTATCCGCTTTGCAAACTCCACCACGTATTGGATGGCGTGAGTGATCTGGATGGCACATTGTTGCCACAGTGCTTCCCTGGACTTCAGGAGAGAAGACACGCAATGTAAAGAGGGCAAATGACTTATGGAGAGTCCACAGAACACTCAGATTTGCCTTCCTGGTGTTCACCTGTCAGTTGGGGCCCAAGGAGGGAATTTATAGGATTCCTTTAAAAGAAGACGGCACTACTTTTATTTTATTTTTTCCCTAAGATAACATTTTGACCTGTTTGGACTTCAGTAGGCCAAAATGATCAAAGTACTGAGGCTAAAATAACAGCAACATTGTTTATAGTATGTAAGGATAGCTTTGTTATTTTCTTTACTATTTTTTCCTCCTTTTTCTCCTTCTCACCTAAACGAAGCCTGAGTTTGTAAAGAAAATAACAGATCTATCTTTATATACTATTAATATAAAAAGCAAAGCTTTGCATTGAGGGATAGTGGTTTCATTCACAGGCCTCCATGACGTCATTTTCATGGGTACCTGATGGACACTAAATTTGTATTATTTTTATGTTGTGTCTTTTTTCCAGACCTACAGAGATTGTTTTTTGGCATAAAAAGAATTCCGAGGAAAAAGGCATTATATTAAGTCAAATCATTCTCCTAAGTTCAATAGAATCCCCCAGATATATTTAGTCCTCGGGTTATTTTTTGAAATGTGTTAATTCTAATTTGTATTGACCATAGCGACCCAATACCTTTGTTTCCCTCTTTATATAAAAATACTAAGATATAATTGTTCTGGTGGAGAAAAATCAGCATATTGTAAACATTTATTTAGATATACACATACTTATATATTTTATTAAAGTTCCATCTACTGGTAGATTTTGTAATTGGGGATCTCTATCCCAAAGTAATATAATGTAAATGCTGAAAAACAACAATAAATTCCTCTTAAAAACTTCTTCAATAAACCCAAAGAAATAACATAGTGTAATAATAAAAATACGGGATGAGTTGTTCCTTTTTTTTGGACTCTTTTTAACATATAGGGCAAGAAGAAAATTTAGAAAGCTTTGTTCTATATATTTGTTGTGTAAGTTTGTGACAGTTACAACTGCTGTGATTATTACATTGCTCCTGCTCCTTGCCTTGACCCAAGAAGTCATCAAGAGATGTCCTAAAGTCATTTGATGAAGGCACAGTCTCTGTAGTCACTCAAATAGGGCAGTGGTTTTCAATCAGGGTAGTTTTGCCTCCTTAGAAACAGGTGGCAGTATCTGGAGACATTTCTGGTTGTCACAAGTATGTGTGAGGGCGATGCCACATCTAGTGGGTAGAGCCAGGGATGCTGGTAAGTATCGAAAAATTTGCAGGATGCCCTTACAGAAAAGAATTGCCCAGCGCAACGTGCCAATAGTGCTGAGTTTGAGCAAGACAGCAATAGGGTAATCACAGGAAAACTTTCTCATGGTTGCCCAGAGTACCTTGCTTTGATAAGCTTTAATTTCTTCATAGGTGTGGGTCTGCCACGCCAGCTGGTGCAGCTCTTCCATGGTGTACTGACATGTCTCCAAATGGGACTTAATGATGTTCTGTGCAATTCGATCTGTGAGAAAAGATATCAAGTCGAAGTTTTGTGAATAAAATCACTCTGCTCATTAGCTTTTAATGTGTTTACTATAAGAATGCCTTTTGGAGATACTCCAACTGTATTAAAGTGTCTTTAGCATTGCTATCTATCTTAAAATCTTCAGACAAACTCTTTATTGCCTTTTTTCAACTTTCAGTATTTTAATCAAAATTTACTGCTTTCCCCCAGATCTTTTGATCACAACTTAGGGGTTTTACAAGTTGTAAACCATTCAAAGGTATTTATTTTTTAAAAAGACATAAAATTATCATATTTCTTGCTTTTTGGCTTGAAAGTCAACTAACAGTTTTAACACTTGTACTCCAAAACACTTTAAAATGTTTTGAAAATCACTAGAACCCTATTGTTTATCTCAGAAAGGGGGCATTAAAATATAAATTTATTTTCCTATATATTTTTTAAAAGGAAGCATTAAAGAATAAACTAAAAGAAAGGCTATGTATAGAGGAAATAGGGAATAGAATGCAGGGACAAGGAAAGAAATTAAATTTTCTGATAATATTTTTGTAGGTTTGACTTTGGGGCAATGTAAACATCTGACATAATAATAGGAGAGGTGGTATACACAATACAATATTGGCTTATGAGTTGATAATGATTGGAATTGGGTCATAGGGACCACTATATTCTCTTTTTAAATTTTTTATATAATAACCTTTTTTAAAAAAAAGTTTAAAAATGATTAAATGATTATATTCACAAAAATTAGTAGCAAGCATAGTTTTGGGCAGTTTATCTCAATCAAATTGTACTTCACATTGTATCTTAAATACCAATCATTTTGGGTTTTGAGACATGAAAGTTGAGCAATAGAACCAGATAAAAGAGCTGTCCTTAAAAAAAGCCTTCTGTGGGAGATCAAGACCTCCTGGTCAGCATGGTGAAACGCCATCTCGACTAAAAAAACCCACAAAAAATTAGCCAGGTGTGGTGGCACACTCCTGTAATCCCAGCTACTCAGGAGGCTGAGGCAGGAGAATCACTTGAACCTGGGAGGTGGAGGTCGCACCACTGCACTCCAGTCTGGGTGACAGAGCAAGACTCCATCTCAAAAACAAAGCAAAACAAAACAAAACCAGCCTGCTGTGAGTCCCCTGAAGGCGGCTGGAGCTAGGAGGCGGTCCCTTGTCATCCCACCTGCTATTTGAAAATAAAATTTTCTTGTATTTCAGGGTGTGCCATTTCAAACGTAAGTTCTGTTCTTTCTAAATGGCCAACCCCATCTCTCCAGGACAGCCCTCAAAGCAGCATTTGGGTGTCTCCTTTCTATCTCACTCAGCTTCTGGTATACAGGGTACGAAGTAAATTACATTTTAGTGAGGTAAAAAACAAAAATTTGTAAATTTAAGCTTCTAATAAATTTTCTAAATAAAAATCTCCTATAGACCATCACCTGGCACATTGGGAACACTGAATAAATGGTAGCCACCGTTATCCTTATTAGGACAGTCTGCAGAGTTTGTCCTCAGGGGAGCAATATGATGACTCCAATGGAGATAAAATTCAGGGGATATATTTAATTCTGCAATCCATCCTACTGAAGGAAGATATTTCAATATTTATTAGAGTTTTTCAATCAAAATAAAATAATACATGTAGAAGATGCTACCAAAAGCTAACTTCTGATGATAGTTCTACTCTATTGGGTTCAGCATTGAGCATTTCAAGACTTGCATTGCTTATGATATTACAAACTCCTTTCTTTAGAAAATCCTGTATTCGAAGTTTTATTGCACATTCTCCTATAGTATAAAAGGGATAAAAATTCCTCTATCCATCATATTAAAATAGATTGGTATGTCATGGCTCATCATTTTTCAATTTCACTGGGGCAGTCTAATTACTTAGAATCTAGAAAACATATTTGCTCTCCAGTAGGTATATAATGATAACGAAAGATTTTATGGCTTTATAGTTTTCAAACTATTATCTTCTTGGTGTAGCTTGTTTTCATCTTCAAAGACATGCTGATGTGTTGGTAATTTACAGGCTTCAAGGTTTATAAACAAGACGATCATTGCCACTCACAATTGTATTATGAAAAACTCTATCTGTTCCTTTATGATATCTGCCTGGAACTATTGGCTGAAGCTTAAGAATTCTCTGGCCTTCTGATATCAAAATATAGGAGTCTATGGTTTACGAGGAAGGGTAGGTACAATAAATACGTGGGAAGGTTAAGGAAATAGGAAATTAAATCCACATGCATGCTTCAGGACTCAACCTGGATGGCCATGCCTGGCGAAAGTTTCCCTGCCAACCATGTCCTCAGGAAGAAGGGCTGGCTGCCATCACACTTTGATTCTGCCTTAATTGAGCCCTTGTTCCAGTGAGACTCCTACTGTGGTTATTTGAATCCCTATGTTTGTCCCACACCCTTCAATATTATGAGCTCTTCAAGAACTGGATAGCAGATCCCAGTATAATGCCTTCACATATTCATTCACCAAATATTTTTGAGAAGGTACTCTATATCAGGTCAAGGTATAGATTAAAAAACAAAGATTTTGGCTTTTCTATTCTTTTCCTTTCTTTTCTTTCTTTATCTTTTTTTTTTTTTTTTTTGAGATCAAGTCTCACTCTGTTGCCCTGGCTGGAGAGCAGTGGCACGACCTTGGCTCACTGCAACCTCTACCTCCCAGGTTCAAGCTATTCTTGTGCCTCAACCTCCCGAGTAGCTGTGATTACAGGTGCCCACCATCATGACTGACTAATTTTTGTATTTTTAGTAGAGACAGAGTTTTCTCATCTTGGTCAGGCAGGTCTCGAACTCCTGACCTTAAGTGATCCACCTGCTTCAGCCTCTTAAAAGTGCTGGGATTACAGGTGTGAGCCACCATCCCTTACTCTTGCCTTTGTTTTAAAGTATCTTACAACAATATAATTTCATATCATGATGCAATAAATGCCCACAGTTATTGTGGGAGCCCAAAGAAGAAAGTGGCTCACTTAGTCTGGGGGTAGGGGCAGGAAAATAACCATAGAGGAGATGCCTGGGTCTTGAAGGATGAGCACAGTTTGCCACATGGAGAAGAGAAAGATGCATCCCAGGTAGAGGGAATGATAGATAGAAAGCTAGCTGTAGGCTAGGTAATTTCTGACATTACATCTTATATATTTACAACCTTTACTTCTTTACAACCAGCCTCCCCTTTACTGAGGATAGAAGTGAGGTGTAGAAAGAGCAAGTGAGGGCCGGGCGCGGTGGTTCACGCCTGTAATCCCAGCACTTTGGGAGGCCAAGGCAGGCAGATCACGAGGTCAGGAGATCGAGACCATCCTGGCCAACATGGTAAAACCCCCATCTCTATTAAAAATACAAAAAAAAAAGAAAAAAAATTAGCTGGGCATGGTGGCAGGTGCCTGTAATCCCAGCTACTCGGGAGGCTGAGGCAGGAAAATCCCTTGAACCAGGGAGTCGGAGGCTGCAGTGAACCAAGATCAGGTCACTGCACTCCAGCCTGGCGACAGAGCGTGACTCTGTCAAAAAAAAAAAAAAAAAAAAAAAAAAGACCAAATGAGTCTAGACCAGTTTCTATGGAGCTAGTAAGCAATGTTTTGAAACCGAGTCTGTGTTTCCTGGCTTGAATTTTACCAATTCAGAGATAACTGGTAACCAACCAAAGTTGTAAAATATTATCCGTTTTTTGGCTTATTTATTTATTTTTGAGACAGAGTCTTATTCTGTCACCCAGGCTGGAGTGCAGTGGCATGATTGTGGCTCATTGCAACTTCCACTTCTGGGGTTGAAGTGATTCTCCTGCCTCAGCCTCCCGAGTAGCTGGGACTATAGGTGCACACCACCATGCCTGGCTAATTTTTGTATTTTCAGTAGAGACAGGGTTTCTTCATGTTGGCCAGGCTGTTCTCGAACTCCTGACTTCAGGTGATCTGCCCGCCTTGGCTTCCCAAAGTGTTGGGATTGCTGGCGTGAGCCACCATGCCTGGCTTTGGTTTTTGTTTTAGAAAGGTGACTTTGGTCATGGTAAAGATGGGATGGCATTAGTGAGTACATGAAATTAATCAGGCTGTTGCGAAAATTCAGGCAAGCTCTGAGGAAGGTCTGGACTAGGTCATAATGACAGAGGTGGAGTGGAGGAGCTAGATTCAAGACAATTTTGAAGGAGAATACATGGGACCAGCAGATGTGGCACTGAAAGAAAATATTAAATATAGTAGGTGCTCAACCAATGTTGAGTTAGGGAAGATAATGCTGAAGATGATCCGTCCATCCCTTCTTCCTTCCTTCAATTGTCTGCTTTATTTTGCAAAGGACTTGTAAGAGTTAAGATTGATCCTTTGTTTGATGATCTTAAAGCCTAAGCACTCAGATGGCTTTGAAGTCAAATGGTAAGCATACAAAATTATTGTCCATATCCTTGTGGTGAGAAATACAAGTCAAATCTCTTTTGAGCATAAGACTTATTATGAATGGCAATGAAGGCAAAAGCACAGTAGCAGCAATTGCAGACACATTCCTCCCCCACTTTCTCTCACTGTTCTGCAGTGCAGAGGTGAGCCACGTGCAAAAACCAACTTGACCCTCTCAAATCTCAGGTTGATACAAGACACAGTACAGCTAGACTTAGTCTCATGGGAGCAAGGCTGGAGGGCTCATTCTGTCAATTAGAAAGATGCTTGAATGTCCAAGGAGATGGTTTGCTTAGACTGAGAGTCTGCAGTTGTGAAAAGAGAAGGATTTAAAAAGAAAGGCCAAAGGAGAGACAATGAATACAGTATGCAAAGTTCCTGTTGGGAGCCAAAGGAACTTTCAAGAGTCCTTGCTTGGAAAAGTAGAAAACGTAAAAGTAAATGTAGTCCTCTCTAGGGACCAGCCACATGAGAAAGTCCAGACAAAAGAGACTGAGGTAAAAGAGCAGAGGATATGGAATCTTTCTGGGCAATCTCACATCCTTCATCCGTTACCCTAACTTGGATTGCAGCTGTTTTCAGCT